TCTATAACTCACTGGTCCTATCTATTTTAGCTCGTCCCTACCGCCCAGTCGCCAGGAACCTTTCGACCATCTCACCTGCAGTGGCACCAATTTTCAAAAACTCCTTGAATAGGAAGAGAATGTGCTGTGTGGAATGCCGAGAGGAGGAATTGGAAAAGCTTGATCTCCCAGATGCGCACACATACGAGAACTTGCTTAGTGATGCTAAGGAAAACGACACAATTGAGTTATATGGTAAGGTCTTATCATAAGCTTCGAATAGAAGTTGCGATTAATTCCGGGTGACCTTTCAGGACGTTTAATCCTTACGGCGATGGTTGAGCTAAGATCAGCTCCAGGAGGAATGCGGAGGACAACTGCGTTGCAGAGAAAAATCGAGAAAATTCTACGTTTACACACAAAAATAGATTTGAACACATCAAGCGGAGATTTCGAGACGGCTATAAAGCAATTTGGTGGGTTTTCTAGTCATTTAAAGGTTTCCGGTGGGTGGAGCTTACACCTTCGTAGGCTGAGGGTGAGAATGTGCTGTTGGCGGATTTCACAAGGTTTATTGCTCTGAGAAAGTTGTTATTTAGGTACAATTAGGGTCAAACAACATGTGAATTAGTGCCTAACAACCTTAGTGATTAACCAGATTGTAGTTAATCTCTGAGAAACTCATCTTAAAACAATTTTTGCTTGCAGAAGCCCTCGTGGAACGTCGTCTTCGTGCCATCAATGACATCTCCCCATCGTGCTACCAGAAAATTGCCGACAAACTTTGTTCCACACAAAGCGCCGCTCGACGACAGAAAACGATGTCCGTACGATTAGCCGCAATTAGAAAAGGCATACAAAAAGTATTCAGACTCTAAGAAAATTGGTTTGAGTCAGAAATCAGCTAGTTGAATCCGGTGTTACCGTTACGTTACCGTAGTGTAGAGTATAAGTTAAATATGATCCATGCACTTGCACCACTATTGCTTGCTTTAATTTATGTATTTTTGCTTACAATCATTGTAAATTTCTTCAATTTTATTTGTAATATTTATTATTTACAGGAATAATTAATAATAAATATTAAATCGTAACAAGTAGTGCATCTACATCCTATAAAGTACGCCTAAACAATTTCAATATGAAAAAGAAGAAAAAAGTTAGGTTCCAAATTTTAGGACCCTGTTCCTTTTGCCGTTAAAAAATGTTCATTCAAGTCAGCAAAAGATTACATTAATACCCCTACCTAATAAAACTTTACTTTGAAACTGTGTTTGTTTAAAAAGCTGAGCTTCTCTGCTCAGGAGTAACGTCTAATGTGCTTGTGAAAGTATTAGTAAATATTACGTTATCTCGTCTTATTTTTACCCCAGTGATGTTTCAGGTTGAATACTATTTCCATCAAGTTCTTACAAAACTTTGAGGAACCTTTAGATATTACATTGACACCTTAAATTGGTCTG